TCTCCGCATCGCGTCCCGCGGTGCCAACAGGCCGCTCCTGGCGCCTCTGGCCACTGGCGCTCTCCCGACGGTGTCGCTGCAGGTCGGGGTGGGGAGAACGCGGCGTCTGAACGGATTTGTCTGTAAAACAGACAAACAGAGGGGCTGAGCCAGGGGCGGGCGTCTGTGCGTTGGCTGCGCGGACCACGGTGACCGCAGGCATCTAATGTTGCTTTTATGTCCCTCAGTCTCCCCATCTGTAAAATGGGTGGAAGATGAGTAGCTACCCCTACGGTTGTGAGGGTTACATCCGTCTCCGGACGAGGCTTAGGACAATCCCTGGCGCCCAGGAAGCCCGCGATCCGTGTTAATTCTGACGGATTTCATCGTGGCTGTGTCTCCGTGTTGGGAGCCTCTGTGTGGGGTGCGCGGTCCGGTGCGCGGTGCCGGGGACGCGGTGCTGTCGCCCAGGAAGCTCCCGTGGGCTCGCACTGCGCATGCACACACAGGCGCACCTTCCAGTTGTTCCCCACCCAGGAGACCTTCCCCTGCACCGAGATGTTTTGTCTCCTGTTTTTCCCAGAATCGCGTGTGTGGGAGGGACGCTGGGCCTAACAGCCTTATCAGCCTAATGTCGGGCACGCTGGACACACATGGTTGTCCTTACCCTCAATCCTAGGAAGGAGCTACTCTTGTTAGAATTACCGCTATTTCGGTGGCTGAGCCTCAACCTATGAACCAGGAGGTCAGGGGTCGATTCCCCGTCAGGGCACATGCCCGGGTTACAGGCTCCATCCCTAGTAGGGGGTGTGCAGGAGGCAGCAGATCCAGGATTCTCTCTCATCATTGATGTTTCTATCTCTCTCCCTCTCCCTCTTCCTCTCCCTTTTCCTTCCTCTATGAAAACAATTTTTAAAAATTGTCCCTATTTCACAGGTGGGAAAACTGAGGCTTGCAGTTAAGGAGATTGTCAGAGGTTGCACAGCTAGTGGGTTTGACCCAGGCCCTGCAGAGCTGCTTATGGAGCCCTCACACCCCCTTGCTCCCGGGACACACAGGGATCCCTCCAGGGGCACAAGCCCCTCCCCCCCCCCAAAGGAAGCGGCTGTATTGATCCTCACCCCGAGTGTCAGAGAGGCAAGGGGCCCAGTGACCTGTTCCAGCATGGAAGCGCCAGACAGCGATGTTACTGGGGCCAGGTCTCCCGCCCAGACCAGGGCTCTTCCCGCTGAGTCCCTGGGGAGGGGAGGGGCAGGCCTCCCCCCACCTCCCGCCCACAGGCCTCCACTCTTCTCCAGAGGCAGCTGGAGATGTCGTGTTGAACAGGCCATGAAGGGCCTAGGCTTCACACCATCACCTGCCAGCGGCTTTGACATGGGTGTGTGTTTGGGGAGGGGCGGGGGGGTCCATGTTTCAGAGATGCAGCTGAGGCCTGGGAAGAGGAGGAAAGTTGGCACATCAGGGTCAGCCTCCAGGCCTCCTGATAGCCAAGCCCCTGCTCTCTCCATGACACTCTTGCCTGCCTCCCCCTCAACGCCTCTGAGCAAATGGGTCCCCGTGCACTGCTGGGCCCCTGTCCCTCCTTCCTGGCCCACATGTGCACTGACCACTTGCTTCAGGCCGGGCCCTGGGCTCTGGGCTAGGCCATCACGGACAGTGTAATTTATTTTTTCAAATATATGTTTATTGATTTCAGAGAGGAAGGGAGAGGGAGAGAGAGAGAAGCATCAATGATGAGAAAGAATCATCAACCAGCTGCCTCCTGCACGCCCCACACTGAGGATCGAGCTTACAACCCCAGGCCTGTGCCCTGACCAGGACTCGAACCATGACCTCCTGGTTCATAGGTCGATGCTCAACCACTGAGCCACACTGGCCGGGCACAGATGGTCTCGTTTAAAGCACCGGCTGCCTTCCTGCCCATGAAGCTGGCCCTGCCCCTAGCGTCCCAGAAATGAGCCAATCACCTTCGCAAGTTACTCCCGCTCCTAAGGGGGGGGATTGAGACTCACACCCACTAGCCCATGAGGCCGCGATGAACATGTGCTGTTTGAGTCTCCCCAGAGGGGAACGGCCTTACTCACTCATTTGCTTCTCACTTTCTTTATAGTAGACACATGCCGAAGCCATTCCGTTAAGAAACCCACCGTCTACAGCACTTCTGTACGTGGGAGATCAATAGGGTCGTTATACAAGGGTGACAAAATGAACCCCCCTTTTAAGATATGGGAGCCTTTTCCCGGCCGGCGTGGCTCAGTGGTTGTGTGTCAACCAGGAGGTCACAACTCAATTCCTGGTCAGGGCACCTGCCCAGGTTGCGGGCTCGATTCCCAGTGAGGGGCGTGGAGGAGTTAGCCTATCGATGATTCTCCCACATCATTGATGTTTCTGTCTCTCTCTCTCTCCTGAACCCCCCTTTTAAGATATGGGAGCCTTTTCCCGGCCGGCGTGGCTCAGTGGTTGTGTGTCAACCAGGAGGTCACAACTCAATTCCTGGTCAGGGCACCTGCCCAGGTTGCGGGCTCGATTCCCAGTGAGGGGCGTGGAGGAGTTAGCCTATCGATGATTCTCCCACATCATTGATGTTTCTGTCTCTCTCTCTCTCCTTCTCCCCTCTCCGCCAGATTGTGGGAGGGATCCCAGATTGGAGAGGGTACAGGCTGGGCTGAGAGACACCCCCCCACACCCCCACCACTGCATGAATTTTGTGCACCGGGCCACTAATATATGTGCCTCTGTTTCTTTTTAAATCCCACGCTGGAGGGAGCTGCCAGGATCACCCACCGAGCCTGGATCCTGGCAGAGGAGGGCCCATGGGAAGGAGCTGTGCCTGGTAGCTTCTGGGAAACTTTCATTTTTCCTGTCTTTCCAGAAGGCGGAGGCCGGCCAGCTGGCCTGGTCTGGGAGTGGTGCTTGAGCAGACTGGCCGCTCCCCCATCTGCACAAGTGTGTGGACTGTTGTGGGTTTAGGGTGTGCAGACTTTGGGGCCGGTTACAGCCCCGTTATCAATCAAAGATGCTTTCCTTTCTCATCCTAGACCCTCAAATGGGAGGTGTCTCTTCGTAAAGTTATGGCCAGAATCTCCGAAAGGTTTGGAAGGGCGTCCTGCATTCTTCCTAGCACACATTCATCCGAAGCTCAGCGTGTGTGTTTCTTCACAAAGTGGGAGCATGCATCACTCTGGGGCTCGGCTCTAGCGAAAGCCCATCGGACAACCATTTCCCGAAAGAACCGACCACGGATGCTCTTTCTCGGGGAACATCTGCTGGAGGCGATCGCTAACGGCAGATTCCACAAATAGGTAATGAGGGAGACAGCAGAGCCTGGGTTGTGAGCGCTTGCCCGGCGGGATTATCCGATGTCTAATCGTGCACAGACTGTGACCCGCGTGACTCACGGCACAGGGGCCTCCATCCGACTCGGGAGGGAATCCGGCCGGGATTTCATCTGCTCGGAATGTGTAATTGGTTTGGAGGCAGCAGAAAAGCAGCTTGCACCGGATTTTGCCGCATCACGGTGATGAGGGCTATTTGGATCAGCTTGAGTTATGGGCGATGTGAATTATTTATAGCCACTTTGGACAGGCCTGACGCTCGTAAAGACCTTCAGAACAGAACAGTAACACTGCTCCTGCTGTCGGAGCAGGGATCTCACTTCGTTGAGTCCTGGTGCCCGCCGCTGCAGACAGAGAGGGAGAGAAGACATTAAAGGCTGGCAGGCTTGCCCTGGCCGGTGTGGCTCAGTGGATGGAGCGTCAGCCTGCAGACTGAAGGGTCCCGGGTTCGATTCCAGCCACGGGCACATGCGTGGGTGGTGGGCTCAATCCCCAGTAGGGGGTGTGCAGGAGGCAGCTGATCAATGTTTCTCTCTCATCGATGCTTCTAACTCCCTATCCCTCCCCCTTCCGCTCTGTAAAAAATCAATAAAATATATTTTAAAAAATAAATAAAGGCTGGCAGTCTTGACGGGCAGCATGGCTCAGTGGTTGAGCCTCGACCTATGAACCAGGAGGTCACGGCTCAATTCCCGGTCAGGGCACAGGCCCCAGTTATGGGCTCGATCCCCAGTGGAGCACATGCAGGAGGCAGCCAATCCATGATTCTCTATCATCATGGATGTTTCTCTCTCTCTCCCTCTCCCTTCCTCTCTGAAATCAATAAACACATATTTTTTTAAAAGGCTGGTGGACGCATCCAGTAGTGGCTGCACATGACGGGGGGCTGAGCCCGGCCGGGAGCGGAGGCCGCCTGATGCTTACGGAGCAGTCCTGGCCCCGGGGGTTTCACCCTTGGCCCAGACCCAGGCGAGCTCAGGCCCCACAGAAGGCAGTGGGGTGAGGCTCAGACAGTCGGGCACAGAGAAGATTTCCCCATGAGCTAGACAGGGTTCCATTTAATCAGACAGCCTATCCAAAATAACTCCATTTTTGTTAAAAACTTAAATGATAAATTTTTTTAAAAATGAAAGAGAAGGCCATCTCTCTAAGTTTATTTTCTCTGAGAAGTGGGATTAGAGCAGTTTTCTATTTTCTTCTTTGCAAGTTTTCTTAATTTACCAATTGTTGTGACTATACTCTGACTTTACAGGGAAAACAAACTGATATTTTTGTTTTATTTCATTTTTAAAAAATATATTTTATTGATTTTTTACAGAGAGGGAGGGAGAGGGAGAGAGAGTTAGAAACATCGATGAGAGAGAAACGTCGATCAGCTGCCTCCTGCACACCCCCTTCTGGGGATGTGCCCGCAACCAAGGTACATGCCCTTGACCGGAATCGAACCTGGGACCCTTCGGTCTGCAGGCTGACGCTCTACCCACTGAGCCACACCGGTCAGGGCTGCTATTTTTGTTTTAAAGAAAGGCAGAGTGAGCCCTGCATAACCAGGGGAGGCCTCCAGAGTGAGGGGGCTCGTGTGACAGTGATTCTCAGACTTTTGGAATTCAAGAACCAAGAGAAAAGCAACAGGGACATCCCAGGGGACCACCACGGCTCCATGATGCCATGGGAGACATGGGGAAAAAAACCACCAAAAACATAAAGAAAACCAACTTCCGCCCTGGCTGG